CGGGACGTGGCGCGCGCAAAGCCGGCTCCCCCAGAAAGGCCATCCTGTCCGCACTGGCTTGCACTAGCAAGCCCTCCAACATCCAGGGCAAGCGTCGGGTGAGCGCACAGCACCCGCAGGTGCGCGGCAAACGCCTGTTGAAGGAATGTATCGCCAGTTTCCTGGGCCACCCAGGCCTGCGCCTACCCGCGGGGTGGAGGAGCTCTGCCCTGGTCGCGCCGGGGTCACGCAGGTCGCGCTCCCAGACCCGAGGACGCCGCTCCCGCCCAGCCCCGCCTGGCGCTGGTTTTCCACGAGCCCGCACTGCGGCCAAGCGAGGAAACAACTCGAGTTAGGTCCTGCTGCCTCTTCTCAGTCCCGACTTCCCATCTTCCCCGGACACTGGGGACCGCTCATTGCAGACCTTCGCCCCTCACCCGCCCCTTGTCCGGGTGAAATCGTTAATTCCGATCCCTGAGCGCACTGGGGTCGCGCGCTGCCAAGAAGGGCTCCCCTCCGCCTTCACTGTCCTCTCTGATCCAGACGGTGGAACGCGGGAGGCCAGAGCCCGCTCGCCCCTCGGATGTCCTCGGCCACCCGCCTCCGAAAACGAGGCGCCGCCGTGGTCACCCGGCTTTCTCCAAATTCCCTTCTGGGCGGTGCGAAGCTCTGGCCCGAGGCTGGGGTGGGATCCCCGGGGTTAGGGAATCTGAATCCCCAACCCGTAAAGGCCCGAATCTGCCGGCGGGGACAGCCACCCGTCTGACCTTTAAAAGTTGGCTCACGCCTGACAATATTTTTCTGACGTGGGGAAGATTTGTGGTGCCCGGGGCTGCTGTCTGAATTTCTGTATCGGAATCGGAATCAATCAATATCTCTCTCTGCCTCTCCATATATATAATACATGGAGATATATATCATATAATAAATTTTTTTCTTGTTTTTCTTTCCGGCACCACCAGGGAAGGCAGGACTGTAAAGAAGCTCGAATCGCTGCTCCAGAGTTTGAAAGAACTCCTGGCCCCGGGGAAAGGAGTCCATTCCTTCCCTTACGAAATGGACTGCAAAGAAGAGAGGTTCGGGGGCGGGGATTCTGACTCGATTGGTGCTGCGAGATTTCCCCCACGCGCCCTGGAAGGGAAGAAAGGGTGGTGGGGCGTCCCTAGAGAAGTTCTTCACCCAGATCCTACCAAATACAAAATCAAATACCCTTTTCCCACAGCTTCAGGGTTCGCAAGAGCTGCAAGAAGTAGATATTTTAGGAGACAAGGGTGGGACGGGAGATGTCCCAGGCATGTTACCCATCTATCGCTCCGCGCCTGGACCGGGAGGATTTCCCCTTCCTCCCGCCCGGTGGGCCAGCTCTCCAGTCAGCAATCCGGGGGCCGTCGGGGGCCGTTGTCCTTTCGCTCGGTGCCCTGGGAGACTGTGTGGGAAACAGGCCCAAACCGAAGGCAAGGGGTGGATAAAACGCCACCTCCCTGTATGTCCCTTACTGTTCCGCGGCGTCTTGGCGTGCAAGAGGGGCCAGCAGGGCCCGAATGCGTGTGGAAACCGATGATTTCAGGGAGCAGACAGGTTCGGAGGAAGATCGGGAGGCGATCACCGCATCCAACGCTCCCCCCGCCCCCACGCCCTGGGTCGGGAGCTGTGAGAATTCAGACCTTTGCGTTCTACAGCCCGGAGGGAGGGGGAAGACCTTGGCATTAGCAGTTTGTGCCCAGAATTCCTGAGAGACCCGCGACCCTAAGTGTGGGCTAAGTAGCTGGGATCCACTAGCTTAGAACAGGGTCCCTTTCTGAACCTATCCACCTGGCTGGGGGAGGGGGGGAACACCCAAATTTTTCAAAAGGGTCCTCCGGACAATGCTGGATGTGACCTGGGCCGTGCTGGACGTGACCTCGAGGGTGCAGCCTCCTACTAACAGCCCAGCTGCCACCCAGAGTAAGGAGAGGGGGGGTTGAGTTCCTTAGAAAACACTGACCCCAGAGGCAGAAGCCGGGATGCACGGCAACCCGGGGAAGATTTAAGGTGGTGGGGCTCCACTTCTCTACCCCAGGTCGCTCCGGGATCACTCCCTGACTCCTCTCGCTCCATTCTTCCCGAGCTTTCTTGCCCCACGCTGATGCCCCTCAATCAGATGAAGATCCTCAAGCACCTCTCGAAAAGTCTGAGCCTGGCGTGGGCCCCATTGGGCTGCCCGTCACTGTCGAATTGGCGATGCTCTTACCAGCCCTGGAACCCCACCTCAGGGAAGCAGGAGGGGGTCAACCACACTAACAAGTCCGCCCAGGATGGGGGTGGGGGTGTGGGGGTGTGGGGGGGTTGGGCAAAGAGCAAGCAAGAAGGCCAAGAGAGAATTTCTTACACTACTTGGTAATGTTTTCCATAAGGGAGTGTAACTCAGCCAAGCCCAAAAGAATATTCCCACTACAGGTGAAGCAAACTAGATTCAAATCCCTAACACGCCCCTATGAGGCCAGGGCACCAGAAGGACCCAGGATGGGGGATCCCCACATCTGTGCTCTGAAGTGCTCCATCTGTGGTGGCTCAGAGTGAAGAAATGAATATGTGTCTGTGTATGTCCGGCTGGGGGTGGGGGGACAACCCAAACCTTCCAGTTGTGGGGTTGGGAGAACCCTTTAAGGAGAGCCTTTCTGTTCTCTCCTCTCCCCCAAGGTTTAAACACTCACAGTCCTGGGATGACCCTTCTCCCCTGAGGCCCAAGGGCATGCCCCCAACCCCCACCTCACCCGGAGTTCTTAGGCCAGTGGGCCTCCTGCCCCATAAAAGAGAATGGCGGTGTCTATGTGTGTGAGGGGACCACGCCCCACCTATGCCCAGTTCCCAGCACCAACAGCTTAACGGCCAGTAGCCGCATCTGCTGGAAGCGGGTATGTTCCATGCACATCCCCAAAGGTAAAAAAAAAAAAAAAAAAAAAGCTGGACTCCTAAATCTTCCTGGATTGGGCCCCTCATTTTTTACCATTGCCCCCTGCAACCCAGACCACAGAACCAGGACAAGACAAAAGGAAGGGCAGACCAACCTCTCCTGGTTGGGCATTGCCTCTGCTGGGCGCAGGGGACCAGAGTCCTGTTCTGCCTCACAGAGTTTTCTATGGTTGGAACCCCAACTCGAGCCCTGGTGAACTGTAGCTCTGAAAGCAAGCTCTAGGCATTTTAGGAAATTGAGTTTTTGAGGTGGAAATCAAAGTTGTCTCTGAGTAAGAGAAACAAAAAGTGAGACAATCTAAGAGTGTGCGCGGACCATCCTGGAAAAAGGCTGTCAGAGCAGTCTTCCCCCACCCTTCCTTCTTTGCGGTCCTGACAGTCCACCTAAGGACCACAACTATTAAAGCACAGACTTACCAGGTAACAAGGACATGAGTCACACGCACGCCTTCTGCCCACTCACACACTCCCCTCACTCACGCAGAGCTACAATCGGCTTAAGGACTTGGAGCTCCTTTGCCAGCTTCTGTGGTTCTGTTTGTGCAGGGGCTGAGAACCCACTCCTTGCGCGTGGTGGGGTGGGGGCAGCAAGGGCAGCAGCGAACCCCCAATGCCTTCTACAGATACATCTAGGTCAGCAGTAAACTTCCCAAGACGCGGTGCCGACGTGGAACTGTTTGCCAACAGTTGACAGGACAAGACAATGGATAACTGCAGGATATAGCCAAAAAACAACCTAAATCGGTTTGGGCGAAGCTAGCCCCTTCTAGTTCCTTCTCAAAAACTTCCCAGGGAAGCCCAGGACGTACGCTCGCCACCCTGCCCTTTGAGATATGGTCCAAGCAGAATCCCTGCGGTGGAGAGCTAGGGCGCAGGAGGGCGCAGCCGTGCGCCCTAGTTCGTAGGTAGACACCATTATTTTATTTACTTAAAATAAACCTCGAGAACGTAGCTACCGCTCCACTAAAGAAATCGCGGGCGGAAGCAAAGCCCCTTGGCAAACGGAGTGAAGGAACCCTTCCCTCTCCACGGTGCCCAGGGGTGTTACGCAGAGCCCTCCAGCCTGCAGAGCAGGACTCGCTAGGAGCCTGCCGTGCGCGCGCGATGCCCCGGGAACTGCTCCGACCTCTGCATATATTCTCCATCGAAGACTCCGTTTGGGAGTGAGGGACATAGATAGCTTCCCTCCGGGAAAATGCCTGAGCGCGCAAACCCAAACACACACAGAGAGACCTGGGGATAAACACGCCTCGAGCTCCCTCGGTCTTGCTAGTTTCGGGCGCGGGAAAGAAAGTGGGTGGGCGAGCAAAGCGCCCAAACACCTAGTCTCTCCCCTTCCGAGTCTAAGCCATCCTGAGATTGTGTCCTCGTGTGCTCAAAGGCTGTGCGCAAAGACGAGTTCACAACTTCGTCCCGGTGCTTCTCCCTCCCCTGCATTCCTCGGCTAGCTGGAACATGGCGAGTCGACTTCACTGGGAGCAGGCAATCCCCGGCGGCGCAGGCTGCAGGCGCCGCCGGCAGCAGCGGCTGAGGACGCACCAGGCGCGCACGCCCAGCGCGCGGGGACAGAGCGTGTGGCCTGGGCTTCTGCGCCGCCAGCCCCGGGGGCGGGGGACGCGCTCTCCAACTTCCCGCCAGCTGGGGTGAAGTTGTACAGGCGGTACTTCGAGCTTTGACCGTCACCCCGGGAAGGAGGATGATTTACAGAGACCACCCCAGCCCTCAGGCCTGGCCTTCAGCTCCTTCCCATGGAGTCCCCAAACAGCACTCTCCCAGCGCTCCTAGAAAAGCAATGGGCTGGAGATGCGAGATTCGGTACCCACGGCTGACCTCGAGCACTATCGGGGGGCTTTCACTTTCGGCCCCAAAAGCCAAGAGCCAGGCCCTTTAAACGCACTCTGGCCAGTGCCCCTGCCCTGTGACCGCCTCTGCACCGGGGCCGGCGGCCCCTCGCCCCGCCCGGCCCCTCCAGTCCAGGCTACACGCAGCGTCCGACCCGCCCCGTACCGGCCAAGCCTGCTGGCTGTCTTGTTATCAAATTAAATCCGCGAGAAAGGGGGGTGTCTTACGTTGCATCGGCACACCAAGCATCTCCGGGAGCCCCTTGACAGCCCCCTCCGCGGGGACAGCTGCGCTCTGCATCATCTTGGAGCGAGAGCCAGGGAGTCGCAGTCTACGGAGATCTCTCTCGCTTAAGCTGGATTCAGAAATTTGAAAATAATAATACAAAACCCAACCAGGCCGCCGAAGTCACGGTGGAAGCCAGACCCTCCGCCTCTCCGGGAGGATTCCACAGGCTGGCTGGCCCCCTCCCCCCGCCAGTCCTCAGTCTGTTTCAAATCCCTTTGATCTCGCTCTCCGGGGTAGGTGCACATCCCGGGTTGAGGAGACGCTGTTGCTGCAGCTCTGGCTTTTTTCCCCTCCTCCTTCCCCCGCCCGCTGCTCTCCCCCTCCCCCTCCACCCTTCGCGTGCCGGCCGCCCGGGAGGCCGCGGTCACCCAGGCATTTTGATTCATTCACACTGCAGGAACGGCCGTGACGTCGCTTTCCGCAGGGAGGCCCGCCCTTCAGCCAATCCCCACACCCGGCAGCGGGCCGCGGACCCGGGCCGGAGTGGGGGTCCCGGCGCCCCGAGTGTGGAGGGCAGGGCAGGGGGCGGGGCCGCATAGAACGGGGCGGGGCCTCGCGGGCCCTTTCCTCCCCCCCCCCCCCCACGCCCGCGCCTGGCCGTGCGGGCTCGCTCCCTGGGTATAAATACTGCGGCGGGTTCGGCCGCGGCAGCAGGTGGTCCTGGACGGCTGCGCCCAGGGATTGTGGGTTTCCGCGGACCCGGCCTGAGGCTTGTGTCCCCACTGCCCCTCCATTCGGACTAAAGGATGGGGAAAGGCGGGGCAGACCCTCCGAAGGCCCGGGCCGCACGCTGTCTTCCGCTCGCGCGCCATCGGTCCGGGGTTTTTCTCCGCCCGGGACTCTATCCTCCTCCTCCTCCTCCTCTTCTCCTCTGGCCAATTCCTTTCCCGCCGGCGCTTCCCAGCCCTTGCTCTCTCTCCCCCGCGTCTGGCTGAGGTTGGGCCAGGGACAGCCCGTACTTGGCCAGGAAGGCTCGAGTCACGCAGCGGGCAGCGGCGGGCGGGGGAAGGCGGCCGGCGGCTGTGCGCGGAGGTGGCCGGGCGCGGACCCCCGATGCGCGCCCCCGCTCACCGCGGCCTGCCGCGGGGAGTCCGCTCTCCTTCTCGGCCCCGTCGGGTCCCCGCACCTTTCTGGTTGCCTGGCTTCGGGCGCCGCTCTGGCCACGCCGGCTCAGCTGGGTCCTGTTCTCGGTCCCCAGAGACCGCTCTGTCTCTCGCCGGCTGCAACCGCGGGCGATTTGAACAATTCTCGACCTCGTGCTTGCAGGGCGGCGACGCGCACACGGACACCCGGGCTAACCAGCGAGGGAGCATGTGTGGCTTGTCGTTTTTACAAGGCACACATGCACGCTTAAAATTCTCAACGCACGTTCCTGGTGGAAGTAAAACAGAAGGCCCACCACTGGGGCAGGTGGCCGCTGAGGTTCTCTGGTGCTTCACCAGATGCTCGACGCCACTTGGCTGCATGCGTGGGAAGCCCACCTCCCTTGCCACGGGACCCCGAGGCCCTACGGATCCCACCCTCGCGACACCCCCATCCTGAATTTCGTTCCAGAGGTGTAGACAGATGTGCCCTCTCAGCCTAGTCAAGTCCGGCTAGGGTGGGAAAAGGGACCGGGTGCCCTCTCCAAACCTTCAGAGCGTCCCCTGCTTTTTCTCCTGGCGTTGTCCCTAAACAAGGGACCCCAGGGTTGGTGAGGGACGAACAAGAAGGTGGGGGAGGAGGGCATGGCCATCTGCGCTTAGAATTTGTCTTCAGTGAAGTCTCAGTGACTTTCATGTGTCCTGGTACTGGGTTGGCATCATCTCTTGCCCTGTTGACCTGCGAGGTGACTCCTCTTGCACACTGGAGTCAATGTGCAAGAAAAAAGCAAAAAACCGGTGACATTTTAAGTGCTTACGGAAAAAAAATTTTTTTTTACCAACATGTAACTAGTAAACACGAGAAAATGCCAGCCTCGTTAGCCATCAAAGACATGCAAATCAAAATATCATAGTACATTCTTCAGGTTTGTGTGTTAAACGACCAGCTGGGGTGGGAGGAATCCTAGAATTTGGGTGCTGGTGAAAGTGCTTCGAAGCTGGTATTCTCACAAATACTGCTGGGTGCTAATAAACTCTTAAATCCGTTAGGAAAGCAATTCGGCAGTAGCATCAACCCCCCTAGTTTTTTTCACACGCTGTGGCTCATAGAATTCCACTTGTGAGTGTTTACTCCATGGAAATAATCTAAAATGTGGAGCGGAAGGTTTCATACATGAATATGCTTATTACAACATTATGGTTTGGAGGAAAAAAAAACACCTCTCCTCTCCAACAAAAGAAAAAATGGTTTAGTGACGTGGATTAAATTTGCTTGGTAATATGTTGTACAATTATTGAAACTAATTATGAAATCTAGCAACATGGGAATGCTTGTGACATACCAAATGTTTAAAAAGAAGGATGCACTATTAGAAGTCTTCCAAAATGTTAGTCAGAGATAAAAGTGATGATAATACACATCGTTGGCTAGAGGGTGGGGAAATTAGGAAACAGTTTTCTGGTGGGGGCGCACTGAGCACCAATGTCTTCTGAGGGCACTTTGGCAATATATTTTATAGCCTACAAATGTGATGGATTTGACCCAATCCATATAGAAATTTAGCCACAGAAAGTAGTCAAGAATGTTTGTAAAGAGTTAATTACAAGGATGTTTGTAATATTTTGAAAAGAGAATAAACTATATATCCAACAATAGGGGATTATTAAATAGAGTAAATAAAATGGAATGTTATACTGTTGTTGGAAAATACAACAGAAAATATTTAACAATGTAGAAAAGTGAGATTTATTAGAAAAAAAAAGTAAATATGAAGCAATATGAAGTTCAGGGGATTTTTTTTAGCAGCATCGATAGAAAGTCTATGTTAAAATATAAAAGTGCTTATCTGTACAGTGGATATTTGTATTTTTTTAGTTTTTCTAAGTTTCCTCAATTATTGTATAAAGCAGAAAAAGCTAAGAAAATTATTTTCTAAAGCATTGAGAAAACACTGGAAGGAAATATGTCAAAATGTTGTTCAATAATATAGTGGGAGAAAAGTGTGTTAGGGAGATGTATTATGGAAGTTTTTTCTTTTTTCTCTTTCCCAGATTTTCTGTAAAGTGTTTATATTTTTTCAGTAATATTAGTAAAAGATAAAATATTTATATTATATTTGTGTTAAATATTTATATTATATTTAATATATCATATATTTAATATAATATATTTATATATAATTTAATAACATATAAATATATATTTGTTTTACATATGATATCTATAATTATCATTATTATCAGAAAATAAATTACATTTATATTATATTTATACTGATTGTGTTATATTTAAAATATTTATATAAATTTATATTTATAGAGACAGCATATGTGGTACTTTTATAATTAAAAATTATATTTTAAACATGCAAATAAAATAAAATAAAATGAAATAAAATGCTTTCTGCAGCTCTGCTGCCCTGGTATGAGCCTGCCCAAGTCCTGCCTTCTTTTCATTGCATGTCACTAGCCTGTCACTGGGTGAGGGACAGCATTGCTGTGGTGGGGACTCTCCTGGTCCAGTGCTGATTCAGCAGATGCCATTCTCACCTTTATCCAGTGGCAGAAGAGCCCTGGGAGGTCCAGCTGGTTCTCAGTTCTTCAACTTGTGGGCAGCCGCTCCCCTGCACCCCAAAGCCTCCCCGCTCATACAAACAAGGCAGCTCAGCCAATATATGCCCTTTCCACCTTCGAGATTTTTCTAGAAGTATGAGCTGGGTCCCATTTTCAACATCTTCTTCCATTAACACCATACATCTGACAAGGCATTTCACTTCCTTCCTGGGGCCTCAGCTTTCCCATCTGTAAATGATGAAACCCCAATGAAAAGCTTTCCTTGAATAGAATTTTTAGTGCCTACTGCTGCTGATAGCAATAACAACAATATAACAGCACACAGTGGTAATAATAACAACTAACATTTATCGACAGTTTGAAACTGTGCCAGGCGCTCAGGTAAGTGCTTCTACCTGCATAATTCCATCTATTCCTCATTCCAATTCAATAAATGGTATTGTTATACCTATTTGGAGGATGAAAAAGCTGAGGCTAACAGGGGCTAAGGTCGTCTCTCCCCCCCCAGAGAATGCAGGGAGTCACTGAATTCCACAGGAAGACTTCCTGGAGGATCTGTGTGGACCTAAACTCTGAGCTGACTCAGCAGGGGTGTTCTCAGTGAAGGCCCCCCCCGGGCTAGCTGGTGATCCCCCAGGAGCAATAGTCCTTAGAGCAGACCTCAGACCTGTGGCTTTAGGCTACAACTCAGTTGAAGGGTGGGCACCAGAGGATGGGCCATCGGTGACGTGGCTTTGCCCAGGTCTAAGTTCTGTCAGGGCAGTCAGTCAATAAGAGTGTCCAGGAACCAACCCCAACACGTCAGCGGATCCGGTTCTGAGGGAACGGTCTTCAGAAACCCAATTTAGGAAAATGATTATAGCTTGCATTTGTCTAGCACTTTACAATTTACAAACTTCCTCTACATATTTTATCTCATTTGATCTTCATAATCATGCTGGGTTTGGGTATGATTATCAGGAAACGGAGAGGTTAAGTGGTTTGCCTAAGGTCACACTGCTAATAAGTTGCAGAGCCAACTGGAGATGAAATCCAGCCTTTGACTCCGGCTCTGGCGCTCTTTCCACTCTGCACACAGAACTCCTGTGTCTTCTAACCCTTCCATTTTAGGAGCTTCCCGGAGTAGGCGACTTCACCCTCTGAGGCCAGGAGTTCTGAACCTCAGCCCCTTTCTCCGCTCACCACCCCGGCTCCCCATCACCCCATCGCCAGTCACCTCCTCCTTGTCCTCCAGCCTCTCAAACCCTCTTTCATCATTTGCATTTTGAAACTGTTTCCTTAATTATTCCCCTGCTATTGGAAACCTGCTCTCCCCCTTCTCCGTGGCATCCTTTGATTTATCTCTGTCTGGATAACAGCTCCCCGATTCTCCTTGGGGAATTCAATTTTCATTCATTTTTCTGCTGGGCTAGATTGATATAGACCCTCTGCCCTGGTCCATATTACTCATCCCAACAGAGAGAACCAGGGAGACCAACCCTCAGCCCAGCCCCTGGGGAGCCACTGTCTTGTTCAGGGAGCCACAAGGAGTTCTCCAATAAAAGGACAGGGGCCTTTGCTCTTCCCCATCTGTCCACCCAGTCCTTCCAGTCATTTGTCAAGGGCCCCTTTCGTGAGCCCACCA